AGTAAGAAGCTTGCTAATTTTAGTTTGGTTTTATATTGTTTGCTTCTGCTCCAGATGTTTTAAATTATTTTCTCAATAGATTACCAACTGTTTGGTGGCAGGGACTATGCCTCTTACTTATGTATCAACCTACCATTCATTCATGTGTTTGAGCAGATATGGAGTATCTTCTCTGCTAGTCACTGGGTTACAAAACAAAACAAACCCAGCTATGTCCCAGCACCACATTACACTTCTCCACCCCACCTTCCCCCACCAAGATTAAGATCTGGTGGGGAATATAAACATTACACAGATAACAGAAGTGTGATAAATTTTCAAAAAGTGATAGTATTAGATACTCTAGGAACCTACAACAGAATGACATAACCTAGTATGGGGGAATCAGGAGATGCCTTCCTAAATAAAGAATATATTAAAGAAAGGTCCAAAGGCAGGAGAGACAGCTGACCCTTTTCTGAAAGAAATCTAGTATTTCTGGAGAGGAAAATAGAGTGGGAAAGTGAATCACAAAAGATGAAGCTTTTGGAGTAGTTGGGAAGACTCGAAGGGTGGAGAGTTTGGTAAGCCTTATTAGGATTTTGGACTTTTTCTTTAAGTAAAGTAAAATAGGAACGATGTTGGGGGTGTGTATATGTGTGTACATATTTTGATGTTTGATACCTGCTCTCATTGCACAGTGAAAATGAGATTGTAGGATGCTGAGCATATAAGTTACTTGTAACTGCTGCTCATTAACTTTTAAACCAGGTCTTCCCCCATAACAAATTGGAATAGCTGGTGGCAGGTGGGTTTTAACTCTGAAAGCTAAGTACTGTTTCTTTTACAAGCAAGAAGTATATTCATGTCTAAATTCTTTTTTTAAAAATAAGGAACACAAACTTCTTAATGACTGTGAATTTGAATTTTTAATCCATCCAATTACTAGCTCTTTGAAAAACTTACTAAGTTGCTATAAGCTGGTTTTCTCACCTGTGAAGTGAACTGTTGTTTTAAGGATGAGCTGAGGAAAGCCTTGTGAGGCACTTAGAATTTGGCTGGCACGTATCTATCACGTCTTAGCTGTATTTTATCAGCTCATCTTTAAGAACTTTAGTTCTTAAATAAAAAGAACAACAATAAACAGAAAGAAAGATACAAAGCAACAGGGATGCAGAGACCATAGATTTAGACATCCTGTTAATGATGATATTCTGATTATGCAGGTGAGCAAATTAAATCTTAGGAGAAATCATTCAGTTAAGACTCATGACTAACTAAACAGTAGAGCTGAGGTTTGATTCCACAGAGTCTGGTTCCAGAGCTCAAACTCACTACCCTATGGCCTCTTTTCCTAAAACAGTACATATCTCTTTTAGAAGATTCTCTCTTGTATTGCAGTAAAAAACTACAAAACCATGTTTCAGCTTGGCAAGAAGAATAATAGGGACAATTGATTACCTTTGGTATTTGGTTAGTAGGACTAAAAAAAGAATTGAGTCGGGCTTCCCTGGTGGCGCAGTGGTTAAGAGTCTGCCTCCTGCCGATGCAGGGGACACGGGTTCGTGCCCTGGTCCGGGAATGATCCCAGATGCCGCGGAGCGGCTGGGCCCGTGAGCCATGGCCACTGAGCCTGCGCGTCCGGAGTCTGGGCTCTGCAACTGGAGAGGCCACAACAGTGAGAGGCCCCCGCACCACAAAAAAAAAAAAAAAAAAGAGAGTTGAGTCGTAAAAAATTATTTCCTGATTTAGGTGATAATGAAACTTTTTCTTGTTTTCTAGGAGTGCTAGTTAATTAGCTGGTCTACTAACTAGTCAGCTGCTAATGCATAGTTATAGAAGTAATGTTTTATCAGACTATATTTTTCCAGTATATGGCACCTTTAAAGGGTGACTTCTGTGAGAATGTCTAGCATGGCTGCAATGTAGTTAAAGTCAGGAGATGATGTGTGTACGTCCTCATATGTGTGGGGTTTTCTTCTCTCAGGAGTTCAGGGTGGGACATTAGGGAAAATATAGTGAGCTTTATATCAACAAAGCAGTTTGAGGCGGTGCTCTCTGCTTATAACATAGAAATAATTGTATTTTGTAAGTGATATTTTTGTAAAAATGGCAGAACACCTAAATTAAGTAGCCCACTTACTTCATGTGATACTTAGAATAAGAAATATCTAATAATGTAATCTCAAAGAAAAGTTATTTGATGTTATTAGAAATTATCATTGATTTTTTAGCTTCTAAATCGGATTGTTTTAAAATTAGAGTAAATGTGTGGGAAATTAGCAATAGTATCATGTTTTATGTCTTAAAGTACTGTTATTTCAGTTTTTTAAATCATGAATAATACTTCTGAAATTATAATATTTTATTTCACACAGTATTTATCAGACCTCTTTATTTAGAATGACGGGGAATGAACTATAGTCTCTTCGCCTGTTTTTTTTGATAATATGAATAAATTTTTTAAAGAACTCTGTGCCCGTTGTAGCAAATTCGGTCGGTGCTGGAGTATACAAAGGAGGCCTTCCTCTCTAATTTCAGTTTGTATACACCGTTAGATTCTTCTGTGTGTGTGTGTGCAAATGCATGTACATACATATATCATATGCCTATGTAACATGTGCACAGTAACTATACAGACATCACTTAAAAGTTAAAGTTAGAGCATATGCTAATGTTACTCTGAAACATACTTAACTCAATGTGCATATCTTTCCAAGTGAGTACATGTAGAATTACTTAATTCAGTTTTTTGAATATTTTATTGTAAGGCTGTTTTTAGTTTATTCATTTACATGCTGACGGAGATGTAGATTAAGTTCTATTTTTTTCTATTATAAAGAATTCTACTAAGACCTATAAGATAGGTATTATCTGCTCTGTTTTTGAGATGAAAGTAAGACACAAAGAGGTTATGTAATTTGCCCTAAATTGCACAGCAAGTAAGAAGTGAAGCTGGTGTTAGAATCCTAGCAATCTAGTCCAGAATCCAGTCTTAGATACTGCATTATGTTATTGTTTTCCTTCTACCCATCTTTACTCTGTTTACTGAGTTAGAATAAAAATTTAATGTATAAAATATATCTAATATTAAAACTCTCCTGAGGATAATTTAATATGCTGCCTTAAGGATATTGGAAACCTTAGGGTCACAAATTACACAGCTTTAATTTGGAGTTGTATCTACTATAGAAGTAGAAGGTTTAAGCCATTGGCTCGCAAATGTTAATGTGAATACAAATCACTGGGAGTGGGGGATGATCTTGTTAAAATGTAAATTCTGATTCAGTAATCTGGAGTAAGGCCTGAGACTCTGCATTTCTAATAAGCTCCCAGTAATGCCAGTACTACTGATATACTTGTAAGTAGCAAAGGTTTAGGCAACTTATACTGACCTTTGGCAAATCTTGTTTGTTGTTTTATTGAATCAGTTTCTTATACCATTTTGTTTAGGATACCAATTTTCATAAGTTGTACACATTAAAGAAATAATGTGGGAGCTTTCTAGTAGTTTCATTTCTATGTCTGTAGCATTTAACATTGTTAGGAAAAATAAGTTGTGGCTTCTGTGGTACTAATGCACAGTACTTAAATAAATAACTGTAGTCAGATTTATTTGTGTAATAAATATAGCTTACACACCTTTGTCACTATTTCCACTGTATCATTTTTAATGGAGGGAAACATAACATTTCTTTTCATTTTGAAGGCTGTAGCTGTAGTTGAACTACAAAGGTTGTTTTATCACTATTATTTTATTCTTTAGTAATAGTAAAAATATATTTTACACAGTTACAAAAATGAATTCCTCTTCAGTGCTGTGTGTCAGGCACTATATCAAGTGCTTAATTGGCATGATTTCATTTAATCATCATGAACTCCCTCATTTATTCATCATTTGTTAGCTCTTTGAGCACCTGCTCTGTTCTAGGAACCGTGCATCCAGTGATGCGGCAAGTTTACACAGATTCTGCTGTCCTAGAACTTAGCTCATTGGGGGATGCTATACAGTAATCAAGCAACCATAGAAGTGTGATGGTTGTAAAAGATAAGTTATTAATTATAATATTTGCTATTGTCTCTACTCTTTGAACCATCAAGAGAATTCTGCTTTTGCCATCTAAGTTTCTCCCACCTAGCTTCCTCCCCTGCCCCACTCCAGGGAGAATTCTTTCTCTGTCAGCTGGATTCCTGAATTGTTGTGTTGCCAAATTGACCTAATGCATAGAGAGAGAGAAAACTTTAGAAGTAAAGATGAGCAGCTTGTAGAAAGAAAAGAAAGAACAGAGGTAGATGGAAATAATTTATAATAAAACTAAATTAAATTTTTAAAAAGAACAGCTGAGGGACACTTTACTAATTTAAAGGAGTAAATAATCTCTACTTTAAATGGGAGTCTTTTTAAAACCACTTTTATTTTACTAGGTGACACTTAGTAACTCATTTCAGTAAGTTACTTGAATGCTTCCATTTGCCCAACTTTGTGGTAGGAGGTGTAGAAAATCAGGGGCTACCAAAATAGGGTATAATCATGTCCCTGCTCTAAAGACTGTTAGAGTTGTTGATGAGAAGATGTTGAAGGATTTAGAAGGTAATGCAAAACATAGGACATGGGACACCATGTGTGACCCCAGCAGTAAGCACATTCTGGGCTAATTAAGCATGCTTTTAGAGGAATGCTGTTTTTAAAAAGTATATGATTGTCTCTTTTCTGGTAATAGTACTAAGTTATCTTTTGACTATTAACTTGATAGAAAATTCTTTCTGGTATTAATCAGATCTATATATTTGGCCTTTATATTACACTACATTGTTGTGATTTCCAAAACATTTTGATTTCTCTACTACTATTATAATTTTGGGCTGCATAGTACTGTTTTGAAGATTATTGTAAGAGACTTTAATTTCATTTCTGGATATTACAAGTAGCTCTATGCACCTGTTTTTCTATTAGAGGGAGAATCTGAAATTTTTTTTAATTTTATCTTGGAAATTAGTTTATTCATTATGTTTAATTTTAGGAAATGGTGCTCTTGCAGAACATTCTGAAAATGTGCATATTTCAGGAGTGTCAACTGGTAAGTCATTTTTTGTAATGTTTAAATTTCATGCATGACTTCTGTGGTAAATGTTGACAGCCACCTGGTATCTTATGAAGTGATATTTGGCTATAAAAATTATTACTGCTTTTTGCAGCATGTAATAAGGAATGAAGTAACTGGAACATGGAGAAATTCTCATAAGATAAAATTGATACTTGCATGCCCATGGATTGATTATATTTTTCCAAACGGACTGCATAATTATTTTTCCATGCAAACACTGAGCCAAGAGAAAAGTTAGCTCAAGTTGAATTAGTGTTTTCTTTACATACAAAGTTATATGAAATGAAATTTATTAAAATGTAATTTTGAATGCTATTCCTAGCATTAGAGCCTTAGAAATTAAGCATTTTACTTGATTTTTTAGATTAAAAATACTACTATGCATAAAACTGTAGTACTTGAGTGCACAATTTATATGTTATTAAAAAGCAACCCAACAACATATTTGTGTGCATGAAATTCAGAAACTTGTTGAGGTAAATGCATTTTTTCCACTCATCTAAGCTTTTATAACTTAATAATTATTTAAGGGCCCATAACTATTAAAATGTTCATTCTTAAATATGTAAAATAAAAAACAAGGAACTACTATATAGCATGGGGAAATATATTCAGTATCTTGTAATAAACTGTAATGGAAAAGAATCTGAAAAAGAATATATATACATGTATACACATACACACACACAAACACACACATAATTGAATCACTTTGCTGTGTACCTGAAACTAACAAAACATTTTAAATCAACTACACTTCAATAAAAAAAATTTTTTTTTTCATTCTTGGGTGACTTCCACAACTTGGATACCATTTTTGCATTATCAACTACAATTACTAGGAGAGCAGAATCTTGAATTTTTTGCCTATATGGAAATTGAGTTTCTTACTATTATTTTATTATTTCCCTATATTCTTGATAAGTTTTGTGTGATTAAAATAATTGCACTTGGTATATTTGTCAATTTATTGATTGATTTCTTCATGTCTTCTTGGAATTTTTTGGTTATTTTTTTCTCATGAAGGAAAGCTGAATGTTTTTCTCTTTTGTTTTATGTCTCATTTTATATTCAGAAAGTGAATAGACTTAACAAGTACTCTAAGAGTTAGTCTGTGCTAGGCCAAACAGATTGACGATCCTGGTTTCCTGAAAATGAAAAGCAGGCGCTTCTGCAGCCTGCGTTAATTCTTTTACAGTGTGTTTCCCCATTTGCATATGCTTTCAAACGGCATACAGTTGTGTACATCAAGTTAAAAAAGGTTCGTTTAGAGTTGATCTTAATTTTCTCCCTTTTTCTACTTTGGATAGCTAATGAAAATTATGATTACTTTTCCAAGTTGTAATTATGAAGTAAGAAGTTGTGTAGAAACATTTAATTTACACAGCCGAATAGTTACTGTCTAATTCAGTGATTTTCAGATTTTTGGTTCTCAGGACCCCTTTTAAGCTTTTAACAATATCAGGGACTGCTCAGGCTGCCATAACAAAATACCAAAGTCTGAGTGGCTTAAATAATAGATATTTATTTTCTCACAGTTCTAGAGGCTAGACCTCCAAGGTCAAGGCGCTGGTGGGGTTGGTTTCTGGTCTGAAGACCTTTCTTCCTGACTCGCAGATGGTGCCTTCTTGCTGTGTCCTCACATGACCTTTCCTCTATGTGCACTCAGAGAGAGAGGCCTGTGGTGTCTCTTCATCTTCTTATAAGGACCCCAGTCCTACAGGAGTAGGGCCCCATCCTTATGAGTTACCTCCTTAAAGTCCCTAGCTTCCAAATACAGTCACACTGAGGGTTAGGCCTTCAACAAATGAGTGTGGAGAGGACACAATTCAGCCCCTAACAAGGACTTCAAAGAGTTTTTGTTTATGTAGGTTATAGCTACTGATAATTACTGTATTAGAAATTAAAACTGAGAAGTTGTTTAAAAACTTCTTAATTCATTTGCTAATGAAAGTAGTGTCTATTGCATGCTTACATCAATAACATAATTTTATTAAAAATGTATTTTTCAAAACAAAAACATCAATAAGAAGAATCGTATTGTTTTATAATTTTGCAAACCTTTTAAAGATTGGCTTAAAAGGAGACCTGGATTCTCACATCTGTTTCTACACTCAGCCTTTTGTAACATATTGCTTTGTTTGACAATATGAAGACAATCCAGCCTCACACAGTTGTGTAATTTGAAAAGAGAGGAGTATTTCCATAGCCATTTTCAGATAATTGTGAATATTCTTCTTTGATACTGTACCAGAGCTCAGCAAGTGGTGGTTTCTTAAAGGTTAGTTGCAAGTAGGATCTGAAACCATATCAGTGAACATTTTGTTCTCTGTTTTACAAAAATCCAGTGGCCTTTCTTGCCCTTTAAATGGGTATTTTTTTCACCATGCATCATTTCGTAATATGAATTAGTTATTTGAAAATACTGGTTTGCTGAATTACGTGGATTTACAGGTTTATTTTCTCATAGTTCTGGAGGCTAGGAGTCCAAGATCAAGGTATTAGCAGGGTTGGTTTCTTCTGAGGCACCTTTCTTTGGCTTGTAGATGGCAGTCTTCTACCTGTTATCTTCACATGGTCTTCCCTCTGTGTGTATCTGCGCCCTGATCTCTCCTTATTAGGACACCAGGCATATTGGATTAGGGCTCACCCATATGACCTCACTGTGATTTAGTTAGCTCTTTAAAGATCCTGTCTCCAAATCCAGTCACATTCTGAGGTACTGGCAGTTAGGACTTTAACATAGGAGTATTGGGGTTGACACAGTCCAGCCCGTAACAAAATGAGTGTTTTAATTAAATGTATTTATGTGTCAATAAATTACTTAATTTCAGAGCTCAGTTAAACCTTATTTATGCCTTACTGTTTTTCTGAAGGTTGGTCTTATAAAATCTTTCTTCTGTGGAAAGAGAAGAATAACATGAAGTCTATTCCAGTCGTACCATTAAAAATATAAATGAATGCTCTCTCAAAAGGTGCTTTTGGATATACAGATTCATTGCAATTTTTCTTTATTTAGTCAATATGGAACTGTAGAAGGTGTAATGCTTGATATAGTATAAGCCTTCTGAATTCCTTGCATCCCCAGTTGAAATGAGAGTCCTTTCAGTGCTGGTATAAATGGAAAATTAGCTTTTGGAAGACCCTCTAAACGTAGGACTTGCTTTCTCTTGAGACCAGCGAGCAACACGAGTGCCTCTGCTACTTTATTTGACAGTGCTCAGTGCCTTAGCTCATTCATTCTTTGCATTCTGGAAATTTTAATGACGTTTTAGAAAGAATTTTAACTTACATGCAGTAGTATTTTCAGGTAATTTGTGGTCCAAATCAGGACACTTTGAAAGCAAAAGGGTATACTGCTTTTAATAATGCTGATACCACAGGCAAAACCAGAGCTATCCTGGACAGTTTGGGAGGTAGAGCCACCCTATCTGTAGCGAATTAAATTCATTCAGCATGTATTAAACACCTGATGTGTACCTTGTGCCAAGAAGGGTGGGAGTTAGCAGTAAGTAAAATAGTACTGCTACAAGAACTTACCATTTAATGGAGAAAGTAGACATGTGAAAAATGCCCCTGTAATGTGGCCTTAATGTAGTAAATCCTATGGTAAATAATGACCACGTTAAGTTGGATCATGAATTTATTTAAAAGGCCTCGTTACAATGTCTGGTGTGTAGTAAATGACTTCGTATTTTTCTTACTTTATTTAATTGTGAGTAGTACTAAGTACTTAGTTTTGTTTATTCATATAATTTTTATGGGAATTAACAATTTTTACTCGGTAATATAGTTTGGGTTCTTACGCTTAGGGTAATATGTTTCTATTTCTAACGTTCTAGTCATTTTCATCCTCCTCCTCAAATCTTTGCTTAGAGATATGTTTTTGTCCTTTTGCTGGTTCTTATGCTATAGGAATTGTCATAAGACAATGTAAATTATCAAAAAGTATACATCTAGTGGTTGTATAATGGAAAAGAATGATTGGATAAAGTATTCTTTTTTATATATTTTTTCCTTAGAACTTTTCATGGTTTGGAAATTTAAATCTGCTTTCATTTATAAAATAGAGAAAGGAGAAAAGACAAATGGTATTTTTGTAAATCTAATAATATGTGAAAATCATTATGAAATTATATCATAGAAACTGCAAGTAATATAATTGTATATATGAGACAATAGGAAGGCTATTTTAATGTTCTTTTTAAAAATGTCTAAATTAAATGCCTCATGTTCTTTGTTAAATGCCTAAATATGTAAAATAGCTAACGTATTGCTCATCTGCTACATAGAATGAAACATTTTTTTAGATCAGATTGATTTATACACATTGAACAAATATATTTGATTTTTAATATGTATCCACTTTAATTGAATTTTCTCTATAATCTATATTTGGGTCAGAATAATTCTAGATATAATAACGTATAATGGAAAAGAATCTGAAAAAGAATAGATATATTCATATATACACATGTATAACTGAATCACTTTGCTGGATACCTGAAACTAACACAACATTGTAAATCAACTATACTTCAATTTTTTTTAAAAAGTGTAATTCTAGGGCTTCCCTGGTGGCACAGTGGTTGAGAGTCCACCTGCCGATGCAGGGGACACGGGTTCGTGCCCCGGTCCGGGAAGATCCCACATGCCGCGGAGCGGCTGGGCCCGTGAGCCATGGCCGCTGAGCCTGTGCGTCCGGAGCCTGTGCTCCGCAACGGGAGAGGCCACGGCAGTGAGAGGCCCGCGTACCGCAAAAAAAAAAAAAAAGTGTAATTCTAGATATAATTTGATTATTTCCTCATTACTCTTGATTACTTCCAAATCAGTTTTTTACTTGTTTTCACAAATTCTGTTTATGCATTATACAAGTTTCATTAAATGTTTAGAAAAATTGGAAAAAGAGCAAAAAGATTACGAAGATCACCCATTAACCCTGCATTCTTAGTATAATTAATAATATTATAATT